CAATTCATCTAGAACACCTCCATTGTATTCTATGTAATATAACTAAAAATTAATGCGAATAGTCAACAATGTGAGCCACATTTTATGCTTTAAATGAAATTGTTAGAAAATAAAGGATCTTGGTTTTTTATATAGAAAATTTAATTAAAATGTGATTTATGTTTGTGAAAATTAAAAAAAAAACATTAATTGAATTTTTTTTTCAGTACAAAGATTATTTAAAAATAACTACAAGTCTTACTTTATTGTTTTCTCTTCCTATCAGACTATGACAGTGTCGTAATCAATTCTGCCTTATCAGGGACAGAAGATCAAGGCAATGTAACAACTTTGAATACTGTGCATTATTTGTAAATGGATATTATTTAAAACGATGTAAAACCAAATGTTAAAGAATTATATATAACAGGAAAAAAAAGAAACATACTTTTCCTAGAATTTATTCATTGAATAAAATTAATATCAGTTAATGATATTTAATGATTAACCTATTACATTATCCTTTAATAATTTTAATTAATACAAGCTTTTGAATTGAAAATCTCATTCACTACATTAGTATGTAAATGCATATTCATTAAAAAATATTTAATGGGTAGATGTAGAATACTAATGGCAGGATATTTAAATTGGATATTATTATTTTATTTTATTGTTTTTTTTTTTATTAAAACATGTATTTTCTTTTAACTCCGTTCTAGTGTGAGAAGCAGAAACCTTGTAGGCAGATAGCGCCACTGCGTCCGCTGACTCACCAGTTTCCTGTTTTCTCGTTAAAATGTTTAATAAGCCTCTAATTGTTTTGTAATTCGTGTCGACTGTTCGTCCAATCGAACCGCCAATGAAAAGTTAAATTGTAATTTTTAAACTTTCTTCCATTTAACTAATACTCCAATTATGTAACTCGTAACAGTCTAGTGTCCCATAACCATTGCCGCCACAGTTTCGAGGTCAAACCAATTACTAGGCGCTGTGGCTTTTAAGTTGCACTACAATGTTATTAACTTTGGACTAAAACAAAAATATGACTTTCATGACAGCGTTTCACAAAATATTTAATAATGTAATTTTAACATATATGATTTTTTTTAATAAAAAGGAATTGTGTAATAATGATGTGTTAAAATAGGTGGACATGACAATCTTGATACATTTTATTATGAGTAGACGCAAGTAATTCGCTTAAGAAGTGAAATGGACAGGTACATGATGGGCAATTATATATAAAAAATCTTTTGGACTTGAAAATGGCTCGACGAGCCGAAACATAAGATGTAGTTATTAAGTTGTCCAAATTATAAATTGGAAAAAAAAGTTATGTTAATTCAAAATTTAAATTCGCACGCCCCTCTTAATTAAACTTATATGATGATTTAATATTAATTTACATTTTTATCAAGAATAAACATTAAACAGTATTTTTCAGGATTTAGAAAACATTCAAACAAGCTTAAATTTTAAATTTTTCCTCTGGTTAAAAAAATTAAAACAAATATGAATACATTCTAATTATAATAAAAAAGGAAAAAGAAAAATTTATGATTTTCCAAGGTGAAGACGTTCGAGAAATAATTTGAATTGGGACTTCAGGGCTGAAAATAATGATTTGACTGCAAAAAGTTGAGACTGAAAAATCATTTTTTTTTTGTTAATAATTTTTTACCGCTATAGAGATTAATATTTTAAAAAAATATTACAGTTACGATAAATCAATGTTAATTAATATTATTTTTTACTATATGTATTGCAGATACGACAGGTACTTAGATATAAAATATAAATGATCTAATATAACCCAGAATAAAACTAGCAACATGAAAATAACATCAATATTGGCCATTTATATTTTAAAAATTACGGTAAAATAACAACAACTAAATTTTAAATAGTTAAAAAAAAAATATGATGAAAACTAAGGAAACTAATTTCGAAAAATATGTATAACAAGACGAGAATTAAAAGATAGCGATTCTTGAAAATGAAAGGTTTGAAATTTGAAGTTGGAAAGGTTCATACATTTATGAATAACCAACTTAGCACACAGAAACTTTAAGGAATTTATAATTATTATTACTTATAAATTTTGATAGTTACAATGGTTGTTTTTCGAGTTGTAACTTCTTTAATCATATACTAATGTACCACTAAGATAGCGTTAATTTTGAAACAAACTTTAGTTTTTAACAGGAGTGCTTAGAAGGTGTTTACATGACACAAATAGCGCCATTAAAATTTTTGAGGGAGGCTCTTTTTGACGAGGTTTGAATTTCCGAGGGGGAGGACACATTTCGAAAGAGATTATGAATTCTCGAAATGAGAAATTTCAAACCATGGGATAAGGAGAAACAGAACAGATCGCAAATAGTGTAATTATATATGATCTACGACTTTCTAAATTCTGCTTTCGATTGCACTGTTTTTAGATGAGAAAAGCAATAAAATATCATGGGATTGAGGAGGGAGTGGATTTTGGAGAGATAGATACCATTGGTTTGAAAATCCTTAAAAATCAACTGAGTGGATGTACAGCGATGGTCCATAACCTAACTACCTCAATGACACCATAATATTCCATTGTCATCGAATTTATATATTTGTTCAAAGTTTCAGTTTGACGAGATAATTCGTTACAAAGTTTAAAAGGAATATTATATTTTTTAATCATATTTTTTAGGTATGCTACCATATTTATATTTATTATTTAAATGATTTTAGTCCAAAAGTCATCAATAAAATTAGTTTCCTTCATTATACTCCTTTCACTGGTGAGGTTTTGGTCCATGAGCAGTTTAAAAGTTAATTTAAAAAAAAAAAAATGCAATCTGTTTCAAATGAGTTTACTAGAAGATGAGATTTTTGAGTGATGACGTATTCATTGATAATTATGTTGTTACTGGTCAGGGTCAAATGTGTACGTGAACCTGTCTCAGAGAAAAATGATTCATTGATGAAGTTGTTACGTAATGAGTACGTATAATGAGTTTTACTATCTTTGGACTATTTCAATTGACCGATCAGAACATATCTAGGATGCCTTACATAAAATGTTATCAATTTAAACCATAATAATTTTCAAATATTATGGTGATAGTAAACACTTCAACTTTAACGACATACAAAAAATTTAATATTATGGTAAAACATAAGATACTTAAAATTTGTTTACCGCTGTTTTTGGCTGTTTTTTTTTTTTTTTTTGTTTTTTTTTGTGAATGAAAAACATTTGGAAATGTGAAGATCACCTATTTTTTAAGAAGTTGTTTACTTTTTTCATAGTAGCTGTGAATTCTTCTTTTCTTATTTACTTTTTGTTAAACTGGATTACTTCATTTTCACGCCCAACTAACCAGCAGGCTCATTAAGTTGCTCCCGGTGAGCAAGCTAGGTTCCTGGAGGCGTTTCTTATCTGAGTAGGCATACCAGAATTAAATCGGTCAGTTTCTCTATATTAAATAGGAACCCTTTAAATAAACCTATCTGGTTTGTTACGAAATATATTCATCATAAGCCGAAATATCAAGAAATAAAAGTATCTATTTGATAAAAAAAAAGTAAAAATAAATAAGTACACGGGCGGATCTACGGAGGGGGGGGCTTTCGGGTTGAAGCCCTCCCCCCAAAATGGTAAAATATAACCATGGTTTATCGAAAAAAATATTACTAAAGTATCTCTTAAATTATTGTTATTCGTGTAACTAAATTTAAAAGGGCTTGAGGAATCACTTAAACATCATTTCATACCGGTAGTTAGTTTCTTTCTTTTTTTTCCCAAGTAATTATCGTTATTTTTATGAAAAAAAAAACTTTCGGGCTGAAGCCCCCCCCCAAAAAATAAATTCTGGATCCGCTAGTGAATAAGTATATTATTTTTTTTTTTATTGATCACTCCAACCATTCTTCTCTTCAATTATCCACTACAGTCAACCATCAATCCACAATTATGTATCTCTTTTATAATTTTTTTTTAAAAAAAGGAAAAAGATACCACATAAACACATAAAATCACATAGAAAATAATAACTAGATTAATTAATAAACATAATCAATTCGCTGGGGATTACACGAGTCGAAGTATTTTATCATATACTTGCAGGTTATATGTTTTGGAGTTTAAACAAATTCCAGTGGTTTCAACAGCATAATATAAAGAACCTTCAGAATGGGGGAAAAAAATAATAATTAAGAAATCCTATGCACTTCCTACCTAGCAGTCAAAATATCAAGTACAGATTGTCAAAAACGTTAATATTAGAAGTATGCAATCAAGATGTTATAAGATCAAGTAAATAAAAAATGTATAATCAAAATTAGGAAAATAATTCTAAAACATTATTTTGAAGAAGTATCTTTTAAAGATCAGAAGAAATACATTGAAATTTTCTACAGAAAGTATACTATTTCTCTCTAATAAATTTAAACGTATTTTTAATTTTCTTCCTCTCCCACCCCTTACATCAAAAACATTCTAGAATTGAAATTGTAATAATTTTAAATAAAAATAATGTATTCACAGTTATTAAAACTGAAAATATTACATACATATTAAGTGATATTCAATAATTTTATCATTCATCCACTTTATCATCTTCTAAAATTAATTGAACATATTATCCGTTGGTTTTTTTTTTTTTATGATTTCCAGTGATTCCTTTTTAAGAAATATTTTTTGTTGGTTTCAACGTATAGTAGATACGATAAAATAATCAAAATACATGTTTTTAGGGTTAGGAATTTGATGCTGTCAAAAAATCTTACTGAACATAGAAGAGTTATTACGCTAGTTTAACATTACTTTTATAAGCGATGTTATTGGGTAATATAATGGATGAATGCCTAGTCTTGACGACGAAATCACTTTTTAACGACGTAGTCTTTCATAACACACGTTAGGTGCCCCCAATAAATAACAATCTGTGAAGATACGCCCGAAAACTGACAGTAGCCACAGAACAGGACCCCTGAGGATATAGATACAGAAATATATTTTATAATCTATTTACCACTCAGCCGACGAAGCATGAATCCACACACTTCATAATAATAATCCAGATAGAGACACTGACAACACACACTGCGGGCACTGACTGGCGAGCCTACGCAAGGAGTGGGGTTCCCCACCACCGCAACTGTTTGTCTATGCCATCTGGATATTTCAAGACTGTCTCACTTTCTACGGATTATACACTATCGTTCAGTGACCGGGCCAAGTTGGAGTTCTTATGTGAGGTGAATTGGAAAAGAGAAAGAGAGAAAAAAAAAATAACTCATATAAATAAAGAAGTTCATAAACCATTAATATATATTATCGCCTCGATCTCATGTTAAAAAATATATGGAGGAAGTACATATATTTATAATCGAACAAACAAATTTGATTTCGTCCTACTTTATTTATTTTTTAAACTAAAGTTTCATCTCTTAAGACCAGTTTAAAATGGAAAAAAAAAAATCGAAATCTTATAATTCCATATCAGTTATTTTATCAATCAATTTATTTTTTATTTACATGCCTCAGTTTATAAAATAAAATCATTTAAGCTTATTATCCTTTGTTCCCTTATTTTATATTAGGCTGAATCCTGTTCTGATAAGGCTATGTTTATTCAAATATTTTCCATTGTCGTGGAGTGATGGTTGACTAAAGAGAATAATTGAAGAAAAGAATTATTGGGACGATTAGTCAAAAACAAATTATAAAAATAAATAAATATATCTATTTTTATTTTTGACAAAGTTGACATTTGCCGACAAAGTTCAAGGGCATTGTCAATTAATCATTTAAGAAACGATATTTTTAAAAATTACATTGTTAATTTATATCAATCTGAATTTATTATTTATTTATTTATTATATTTTAGGTGCCATGTGAAAGTATATAGATTAGAGGCACCTTATTGGTTATTGAATTACATTACATTATATAGGGATCTTGTTGTAGATGTGTATGTTGTTTGTTTAAATAAGAACGTGTTGTTACAGCTGCATTGGTTATTTCTGATTTACGTTATAAGTGAGTGTACGAAGAATGTATTGTTTAATGTATTGTAACGTATTGTATGTCTGTAGTAATTGTGTTTTTTTCAGAAATTGAAGTAAGTGCTTCTGGTTTTCAGGTTGTAGGTATTGTCGATATCCTAGCAGGCGATATGAAGTTCTTGATGGATCCAAACACGGACAACTTTCTAAAATGTGTACTGTTGTTAAAGCTGTATCGCAGCTGCGACATCTTGGTGGTGAACCACCGTCGAGTAGGTGCCCATGCGTGAGCCTGGTTTACCTTATTCTGAGGCTGTGATAATAGTTTGCTCCCGTCAGTTTCGTGCATCTGTGGAAGTGGATTCATGTCATTAAAAATGATTTTCATTTTGTTGGTACCAGGAACCTTTGTTCAACAATATCACCAGGCCTTTCTACATTGATTCAAAACTGAGTTATTGAAATCGTAGAGCGCTGCGTTAGTGTCTGTTGCTGGAAGTGTGGTGGATACTTCTTTTGCGGCTATATCAGCTAGTTCATTGCCAGGTATTCCTGTATGACTGGGGATCCACAGAAATTTTATATTTTTCTTTGTTGGTTAAATGATTTGGAAGACAGTGGGGTTGTTACATAATTTTAAGTTCACTACTAGCATGAGGGCTGAGTAGGAATCACTAAGCATTAAAATATAGTTATTGTTAATTTCATTGATTATTATACCTAAAGCTAAATAGATGGCAAAGATCCCGAAGGATAGGACTGAATAAATGGAGAGTAGAGCAGATGGTCTCCGTAGGTAGAACAACGGAACATCCAACATGTTCTGATCTTTTCGACCCATCGGTATAGACGCATGTGAATTCTCCGTAGTTATTTATGTGAGCCAAAAAGAGTTGTTTTAGTACTCCTAGTGGGTTAAATAATTTTGTTGCATTAATTAAAGAAAAATCAAAGTGCTTTACTGTTTTTCCAAGGAGGTAAAGGGTTTGCGTTCGATTTGAACAGCTTTGGTAGTGTGTACGAATTGATTAGTGGCGGGTAGTTGGCGATTTGGTAATTTATACATCGAGAAGTGAAAGAAGTCAGTAGTTATTCCTAAAAACTTTAACAAACGGAAGCGTTTGCGTAGTTCTAGCGGCCATTCATCAGCCTCCTAAAGTAGATTGTTGATAAGGCTAGTCCTGAAGGCTCCGGTTGCTCGACGGATCATTGAATGGTGTACTGGATCTAGCTTGTTTAATATTTTCTTGAGGCATCCCCGTATACTTCGCATCCGTAATCAATAATCGGCCTTATTAGACACCTGTATCTGAATTGTTTTATTTAATATTGTAAATCAAATGGATTACTATGTCGTGTCAGTTAGCAACACGATTTTATTGAAGTTCTCTCTCTGCGTATTGTTACAATTAGTCAAAAGTTTCAAAAATAAACACTAACATTTCACTCACAGCCACATTTTTCAGACCACCATTTTTTACAATTTTCCTACGAGAATTATCTAAGCATACATTTTAATTTATTTCTATTTTATAACTTTATATATTTATATTTTTTAAATAATGCCTTGGGTGAAAGAAAAATAAAGAAGGATTTAAATTAAGAATGTGTTTGTTTTATTATTAGACATTGAATTCAAGTTCTAATCAACAATGATATAAACAACACCATGTCCATTTTAGTATATGTGCGGGGAGCCAACATTACCTTTGATCTATTAATAACACATATATATATATATATATATATATATATATATATATATATATATATATATATATATATATATATATATATATATGTATACATAAATCGAATATTTTAAAGTTTTACTTAAATTTATAGATTGTATCTTTAAAAACATCTTCATAATAAATTTTTATTTTAAAAAAGAGAACATGAGAAAAATACTTTTAAAGAGGTATTATCAAAAACGGGCGTTTCCTTTAGTGTTGTCCAAATACGAGACCAAGAGAGATTTGGCCACTTCCAAAGACTAATTGGTTACGTGTTTTATAATTAATAAAATAAAGCTAAACAAAAATGATTAATTGAAAATTAATTTCGTTTTCAAGTTATTCTGTACATACAATGTAATTAATTTTTGGCCAATAATATTGAGTATTGGCTAAAAATTAATTGGTAAGTTTGTTCTGCTTTTCCCTTAGTATTTTTTCATTTTAATAGGCAGATAGCACAGTGTTATGTTGTTAATTATTTTTTCATACACAATACGCCATAGAATGTTGGTTTTGAATCGAAGGTTGGATAATAGGAATGAAACAAACAACAAAAAGTAAACAATTTAAAAATATTTTGTAGTGTTTAGTAATTTTCATTTTATGATATTTTCCATACTTTTATGTGTTTAGTGATTTTCATTTTATAGTATTATCTACATTTTTATGTTAAGGAGTCTTGAAACAACAATCAGCGAGCCAAGTTGGTCCAAATTATACAAGTAGGCATTTTAACTATAATTAATCATAAGAGTATGTTGTTATGATGAGCTTCTTAGATCCATGGTCTTTGGGATTTACTATTTTTCAGAGAGAAAATGGTTTGGAGTCGTCTGCCCTAAACAAATCCTGCTCGACAACGTGCCAAATATAATTAAAACTTCAAAATTTCACAAAAGAAGTTGCCTACAATATATGGTTTGTAGAAGTATGTCTTCAATATTTTATTAAAGAGTCCTTTTCTCTGAATGTCAGAATAATATTTGGAAGTGGATTATGAGGACTTCATGATAGATCAATTAACATTAGGTTTGATCAGTGATTTGAACCTCGTCCCCCTCCAACTACCACAGCCAATACCGGCCTATGGCTCGTAGGTTGCGAGACACTTACTACAAAGGGATGACACAGCCAATTCCAGCACGTACACACCAACACACACAAGCAGAGGCAGGGGCTGTTATCTCGGGGACTTCACCAACTTGATGTCAAGGAGCAAAGTTCTCCCAAAGCCTGATAAGGCAGAATGGAGCACTAGCACAGCTATTAGACCTTGTCAAAGCGAGTACACCCACAAAGGCTGAGTCACTTGACTGCTCTCGGGCCTTCAGGTAAATATATACTACACTTCTCAACCATGTAAGAGCAGGCAACAATATAAACAGGTTAGCGTCAATGCCCTTCATACATATAACAAGCTCATGCGTGCATATATTCTAATGAATTAAACTTACAGTTTAAATAAGAAAAATGAAAAAAAAAACTTATGTATTCATAACTCAGGGATCTCCATACAACTGATAGGCAAGTGTTTTATATAAAATAATATATTTTTAAAATTCCAGAAAACGTACAATATTTCATAGCTCGGATATTTATTTTTTGAGAAACAAAACAAAATTGAAAAGAATCAATCTTTAACCAAACCATATTGTCTCAAAGTGTACCCAAAAGCAGGGGTGCCCAGATATATATTATAAAGGGGTTTTATATATTATAAATTATTCATAAAAATGTTTTACGGGGCAAATTTTGACGGGATTATGAATTTTCTTACTAAAGGACAAGGGGAAAACATGAAACAGACCGCAGCAAGTGTAATTATATATGATCTACGATTTTCTAATTCTACCTTAGCTTACTCTGTTTTTAACAAAACTTGACCAATAAAATAGCTTAGGAGGAGGGGGAAGGGTAGATTCATGAGACATCGACCTTGGGGAAGGAGGGGGGGGGGATGGTCACCCCTGCACAAAAGAATACTTACAAATAAAATTTAAATAGATTTCCTATACAATAATGTTTTGATAAATTTCTGAACCTTTATTTGAACTAAGCTATTCATAAATCCACAACATTTCATAAATATCCCAATACGCCCTACAATACTTTTCGACTTGAGGTACTGTGAGGTATGGATTACCGCTAACATACATTAATAAAGCCAAATGCAGTGCGATACAATACTATTAATACCACGAACACCCTTTGTTATAAAATCTCACAAAAGGGTTTTTCCATTAACGTGCTTTCAAACATTCTGTTCAAGGACAAGCGAAAATCACTGGAAATCCATGGGTTATGGCTATTCAGGGAGAGAAACACAAGCCGTTAGAAAATAACACATTGCAATT